CCCGTCTGGGTCATATTACTGCTGTTGTACTCTTTGCCCACACGGTAAAGGTCCCTGGGCCCAGGGAAAGGCCTGACGGCAGCTCTGTTAAAGAACCTTTTTTGCAGGTTTCCCATTGTGTCGGGGTGCTGCTGGGGAATCCTCAATCAGCCCCTGCCACTCCAGCCCCAATCAGAGGAAATGGATTGGGGCTGGGTAAATAGCTCAGGGTTGCCAAATCACTGACTGCACCTGCCAGCCTCATTAGGCAGGAGCTATAAGGCTTGGAGGAAGTGAGTGAAAAGGGGCGGGGTGGGGAAGGGAGAGGAGCCGAGCCGAGCCGAGCCGAGCCAAGCCGAGCCGAGCCGAGCCGAGCCAAGCCAAGCCAAGCCAAGCCTAGCCTGCTACGCTGTTGCTGACCAGGCCTGTGTTAGGCCAAGCCTGTATATAGTAGGAAACTGGTGGTGGGAAATGGACACAAATAAAGAGCCTGGGAGTTGCACCTGCTTGGAGTATCCCTGAGTCCATGTGGAGCGGGTCCAACGGGCTGAATACGCCGGGGCACGCCGTGCATCCCATTATATCCATGCAGGAAGTCGGGAGAGCATTACTCTCTAAAGATAGGGAAAACCTCCGTTTTCTGGTGGTGTCCGTTGTTGGGTTTTTGTTGAGCCGATCAGTCCCAATGTACGCGATAAGAAGATGAGCGTTGCCTATCAAGCTGCCCTCCTAATGGAGCAAATACAAGGAGACGAAAGCCTCCTTCCAGTGTAAATGGTGCGACTCCATTGCAGCCAGTGGAGTCAAACCCATTTATACCAGCTCTGCACTTGGTTCTGCCGTACATATATTTGTGCACGTCCACAGATGCTCATGCTATTGGAGTTTTACTTTCAAGCATTTCTATAGCCTAGTCAATGTATGTCTTTATATGCCAGCACTGTACCTTCAGAGGGCTGAATGGTACTTGCCCACATTCACCCACAGCACCTGGTCCTCGGCGGCCGTGTTCTCTTCATGTTTCCCCGTGCTGAGAGCCGTGTGACATGTGAGTTGTGATCCGCCAGTTATATAATCTCTTTGTGCCTGGCTGCAACTAAATTGCTGACCAGTTTTTTTGTCTCATGACTGAACATGTAACCTGCAGGGAATTACTAGTCTAGATGAGAGCATGAGGGGGAAGGGCTGGCGACATCGCAGAGCATCAAATGGCTCCACTCAGAGCCAAAAGTCTTTAATAGTGACACACTCAATGGTAATGTGCAGCATGGTCCCC